TCCATGAATACTCTTGGTCAATTCTTTGACGAAATACTCAATCACAGGCTGATTTCCATAGGTATGGCATCGTATTTACCAATCCCATATTTAGTGCCAGATTATTACTATTTTCAGTCCACTTCGTGGGTTTTTTCGGCATGTAAATTCAAACTGACGATCTGCTACTAAATATCAACAGTTGACCCTTAACCGTCACATAACTTTTCGGAGTAAAGTTGTCGATAAATTAAAAAAAAAACAAATTCCAGACACTTCGAATTGGGTCGAATTTGTTAGAAATTCTTAGAAGGCGCTGTGATTTATTATCAAACCGTAAACGCCGTTTGTAAAAAACGAAACCACTCTTTGCTCTTAGTGAAAGCGTACCGCAATTTAGAATAAGAGCTCTTTTGTTGATAATTTTGTTGATAAATGATAATCACATGTCTCCTTTCAGCACTTTAACACAAACTAGTGTATGATTATGTTTTTTTTTCAACATAAAGAAAATAGCAAATAATTATGCAAATTAGTATGCAAGTTTAGACTTTTGTTTCTATTATACTGTCACTAAACAGAGGGTTACTTAATGAAGTATCACTCACAATTTGTTTGTACCTTAACATCACATTTACTTATTGTCTATTAATATTAAGACAGATTGTAAATTTAACTTGAATAAAAAAAAACATGTCTCCTTTCAATGTCACTTTTCAATTGCAGCTTCCGATAATGTTTGTTGATTCATTTTGACAAACATTTTATCAATAAATAAAAGTATTTATTTGCATTTAATGCTTCTAAATGTTATTACATATTTCAATTAAGTATTTATCCTTAATATTCTTAAGACGTAATCCTTATTACATCAGTACATCAATATTACTTTTATTTATACTAACTAGTATGTTTACTTATTATTAGTTGATAGTTTCCTTTGATACATTATGTTTATATTATAAAGAATCCTAACACACCCGATCACGGTTCTTTCGTCCTTCCTCGTTGTCCCCTTGCCCTAAAAAAAACCTGTTTTGGGCGAAAAAAAGAGTCCGTATGTGATCTGGCAATTGTAAGCAATGCTGCTGACTTATTGCTGCGTTGTATGATAATTTATAACATTATATACAATTTTACCTATCATGTGTAAAATATTGTAATATTTTCAATAATTCTATTAATTTCTTATACCATAAAAAATTCATGAAAATCTTGAAGAATATGCGACCCTACCTCCATCTTCTTTAAACCTTTTGATCCGAAAAACCGTTGAAGTAAATAAAACATATTTCCCATAATCAATACGCGTCTAAATGATCCCGTGTTTACTATTTAAAACACGAATGCAAGCCGGTAAGAGTAGTATAAGCTACGAAATGGGACTAAAGATAAATAAATTAAAAGAAAACAATGTGAAGTTAATTTAAAGCGACTATACCATTTTCATATCAGTTAAAATGTAAACACAATAGACTCTTCTAATAACGAGTCGTTCTACTTCTAGACTTTATCCTTGAAGCCATAAAATTCATTAGGAACTCAACTGATTTCCTTATAACGGGACCATACTAAACCAAACCCAAAACCTTTATTAATTAACTTTTATTTGTTGGCTTCTATTTAGCAACTTCACTCTTCATTATATGCCATAAGTGCTCAATAGAGTTTAAATCGGGCGAGTTTTCATTAAACGAATTGGCCAGCTAAAAATAAAAATTAGCTTGAATTTTTATTTTTTTTTTTAGGATCATGTACACCAATATTGTATAGATGTTTTATACACTATTTGTTTCCAATGAAAACTTATCTATTTGGCATGATGGTGGAGATCTCTATAAGAATAATGCCCTTCAATAGCGGGTACTAAAAAATTGTTAAGCGCTGTCGCATATTTTTTACATTCATTATTCCATCAGCAGGCAGTATCAAATTATTTGTTTTTGAGGAAACATCATTTTCTTTACCACCATTAGCTTAACGCCGTACTTAAAGCAAATTTAATGAGCTTAGCAAATTAAATAAATAAATTTTATCAAACTAAATAATCTATTGCCAATCATATTGATAACAATTTTGATACTTATTGGCCTATTAAAGTCATGTAGAATTATTTTTTACGCGATTTTGAGGAGGCTTTATACCACGATAGATGTCGCAGATTGTTGGGTCTCTCTTTTTGTGGATTGGATAGAGTAAACTTAACGTCCAATCGTCCGACCATATACTACAAAGAAGTTGTGGTATGTTTCTTATCAGGACTTTGCCGTCTGGTTTGAATAGCTCGGCCGGCAATCTTTTGGCCTCCACCGCTTTATTGTTTCAAACAGATAACTGCTATTCGGACTTCATTATGGTCGGGCAATGGAACGTCTGCTTCATTGTCAACGATTGAGAAATCAGGTTCACCATCTCTTGGTGTTATGCTTTCTCTGCCATTCAGTATGTTAGAGAAATATCCCCTCCATAATTTTAGTATGATGTGGTCAGTTCACCGCTGGGGGTTCTACAAGAGTATGCTCCAGTCTCGAAACCTTCTATTGGTCGCATCTCTTCGTAGAATTTTCGAGCAGTATCCCACGATTCAATGTTAAGACCTAGAACCGTGACTTCCGTCTATCACAACATGAACGATCTTGCTGATGGCTTTTCGATCCGGAGACAGCAAGATAGCTTGATGAATTTTCTTTTGCTGGAGAATTTTTCTAGTACTACAGATAACCATACTTCGGTCCCCGGCGAAGCTGATCAGCACGATTTTGTTAACTGGCGGGGGCAGCTCTCATAGGTGCGCTCCAAGCGCTCATAGAAAACATCTTTGGTCACATCGTCCTTCTATTCCGTCAAGGCGTGAGTGCAAATCAGAGATATGTTGAAGAACCTCGCTTTGATGCGAATTGTGGCATGAATCCCATACCAAATTTTCGTTCTTTTACAAGGCCACTGTAGTAAATGCTACAAGACCTACTCGTTTGAGTCTTTCTCCCGTCCTTCGCACTTCCTGGACAGTGATGATGTCAGCTTTTACTCTCACGTGGCCATCAAACAGTTTGCTAGCGGTACAATCCAATTTGTTGTAAAATGTTTGCTTCCAATATTTTTTTTTGTAAAAAATGTTAAATATGGATAATACACAAAATATATTCTAATTGGTGAATCTTTAGCTTTTAATAAAATTATCTTAATTTATTAATTGTTTTTATCCTCATTCGTTCTCAATGTAAACTCCATCCTTCATAATCAGTTCACCAATGTAATATTGTCGAATGAATTTCTGGTATTGCGGTGTTATCAGCAAAAGTGGCAGTCATACTGTTTGGTGCTAATGGTAAGTCTCTTGTATATAGAATATATAAAAGTGGATCAGGTATTTCCCTGAAGCACGCGTGCTTCAATTTCTTTTAGTTTTGAGAATTTTTTTTTCCTTCTTTTACACGGAAAAAGCTCACGATAGAATACGATTCTAGAAGAGCACAATACTCAATCGGAAGACATGATTTTAGTTTTTGTAGAAGCCGGATTAACTGCTTTTTGTGGAGTATAGATTTAAATCTTTGATAAAAAAGTTTTGAGATTTGTGGAAGTAGTGAAATTTATCTATATGACCAGACAATATGAATATACTTTTCTGGCTTAGGAGCCTTAACAACTTTGACAACTTTCCAAAGGCTTGGAAAATGTGTCAGACGGATTGCTGTATTCAAGAGATAGGTGAGCTTCAGTGATTGCTGGTATTGTTGCATAAGCCTGTTGAATACTACTAAGGAACGCGATTTCACTATTCAGTCCAAATGAGAATAGGTTTCAGCTAGGTGTTTTTCAAATGCATTCGCCTTATCACAATCAATTCTAGCCCATGTATTGGAAGCAATTTTTAATTGTACAACGTGGCTTGTTGGACGTTTAAAATATTTAGTGCTTGTCCAGAAGGAGTGATCATCCTTTTTTGTCAGCGGATAATTAATTTACATATTTATTAATACTCATTCCTAATATGAGCGATTTTCCGTTTTACTTCAGCTGTTGCCTTATTAAAGTTGGTTTTGTCGAGTGGTGAGCGTGTTTTTTGCCTTTTCCGTCGAAACTTCATTTTCTTAATTACATATGAGGATTTTTATATCTTTAAATATTTTGAACCTATAATTTTCCGCATTATCTCTGGAGTAATATCCCAAGCTGCTTGTTGAATTTCTTTCTAAAACTTATAACTCTAGTTGTTCAATTGAGTGATCAGAGCTTAGACTTACCCAACTTCTATTTAAGTGAAATTTCGAGATATGTTCTTAGTTATAAAGAAGTCTATTACATCTGTTACTTTGTTGGTATCCGTTTGGCAGTAAGTTCGTGTTCCGGTCGATACAAACTCACACCCTTTTTCTTGAGCTGCCTGGACTAAGTCTCGCCCTTTGCCGATGACGTCTTTATTAGATTCAAGAGTCGCTAAAAACATGTTTAAAGTTTCTCGTGTTTTCCACTTGTGTTTATTTACGAAGTTCATAACATTTAAACTTTGCTCTGTTAAATTCGCGGTAATATCACTAATGCTACACGAATGATGGATATTTTTAATCATAACATCCGCGCGTTTGTTTGTCTTCAAAGAGACAACATTTTTGTCACAGATCTGTAGATTATTTCGTTTTTTAAGCTTTTGATTCTCACTTTTCAATTGTTGGCATACTTGCTCTAATTTTTTCATTTTTTTTGTGTTAGTTCCTATATTTCAGAAACAATTTTTTTCGGTTCTCTTGTTAGTATTTACTGATCCGCCTTCAGGCAGGGTACGAAGCTGTTGTACATTTTTTATGATTACAGGGCATTTTTCATACGTCAAAGTCTAAGTGGTGGTAAGACCGATTCGTACATCCCCTAGGTTATATATTCCTAATATAATTAGTTAAAACTGGAAATTTTGAGAGTATAAAATGTTCGGTTACGAACTTTCTTATTTGTTTTATATCTGGTTTTTATAGAAAAATTTTCTACTAAGTCCTCTAAAATTGTTCTCTAATTTCTTTCAGGCGCAACTGTCGTTTCGTGGCGTGTTAATAATCAGGAGCAGCTATTTGTAAGGTACAATTATAATGATTTATTATTACTCGTATATTACAATAATTGCAATTAGTATCAATATTTTTTCGCAAATTATTTTATGGTATATCGTTACAATGTGTTTGTATTCATGAAGAAGTGTGTAACACCCAGAAGAAAGGGCTCTCTACAGTGTAAATGATAAGCCTGACAAGCTGGGTCCATTTAGTACATCAGTGTTTGAGACATTGATCTGAAATTTCGCTCACGTCATTTTCTCACAGCTGCACATTGTCTTGTTTTATAGCGGGACGTATTAAAAATGAGGTGGCAAAACTTACCTCTTCAGGATATCAGATATTCGACGTGTTGTTTTGTTAACGCCTCTAGCGCTGTATTCAGTAGCAAGTTAGTCGAACTTTCCGGTAAATTATCCCTTATTAAGAAAAATTAATAGAAAGTAAATACATAAAGCTCATGTACAAATCAGAATCTTAAAAATAAAAAGTGGCTGAGAAAGATTGGAAGTAACTATGCAGACGCAAAAAAAAAAAAACTAAATGAGCGAGAAACGTAAAAACTCGTTAGTTGTACCTGATTGCAGTATAAGCCTAAAACAACCAACTCATGAATACATACGCGTTGCTTTGAAGTGACGCGGCGGGTTCTATTAAAGAACAACGTGTCGTTTTGACTTATTACATACGCTACGCCAAATTCTCACAGTTTCTGTTATACATAAATACATTAAATATTTTAGTTGAAAGTTCATTTAAATAGGCCCACGTCCATCTTGTTTTTTTTAATTACCTACAGTAAAGTGTAAACAACTGTAACTGTAAAAATATATGAAATATCTTATTTCTTAATTACGGAAGAAAAGACTTTTCGAACAAGTAATTTTTAATATAGTAGTTAACTTAATATTTAATATGAATCGTATTATTTTCATTTGCAACGATTTTCATAAAATAACGCCTTCAATAATAAATCGAAAAGTTCCTTCCTCAATTTTATCATTTCTTCGATTTTTCAGTCCCATTTAATAATATTTTAGAACAATTACGCGCCTTTGAACATTTTTTGGTCCATTTTGATCTACAATTTGCGAATGCCCCCACTGGCAAGTCAAAAGTATAAAATTCTGATATACCCTTGATCTCCTTTTTGCATAGTTAATTGGGAAACAGATTTCCATATAAAAGTTACTATTAGGACCAATTTAAAAAAAAAATCCGTGCAAAAAAGGAAATCGTGTAGAAGAAATCTCATTTTATATACAGATGCGTGCAACTAATTAACAACGGTAGTAGGAAAAATCCAAATCGGTTGATATTTTCATTTTCGAAAAAAAAGAATTCAACTGTATGTCTTAAAGATAAATAAATATAAAGCCATTTTATGACTTCAAAGTCAGAAATAGGTCATGCAACTAATTAAGAACGCTTTCTTTTTTGGAAAAATTATTTTAATTGGGGTTATTACCCAACCAATTCGGATTAAAAAAGGCAAGATCCACAATTGCAGCTGTAAACTTAGTAAAGACCCTGGCTGAACGGGCTATAAGCGGGAAAAGGTGGAAAGGAGGCAAAATACAGTACTGTATGGTTGTAACCCTGGCGCAGTATAATGAGTGCACTAAAACTCTTCTCCGTGCCTCAATAGCTTTACAACATAATAGTAAGCTATTACGAGGATAGAACTTTGAACTACAACACAAGCGAAGGCTCTAAAAAATATAAAGTCTCTGGTGGAGTACCTCAAGGATCTATTCTTGGGCCGCTACTATGGAACGTCATGTACGACGGAGTACTGCGACTGAAAGTACCCAAAAACGTTCATATTATTGGGTTCGCAGACGATATCGCTGTTGTGATTATAGCAAAACATATACACGATATAGTTTCGATAACCAACAGAACAATAGTGTTAATAGGCGATTGGCTCGAAACTAACGGACTGAACTTTGCGGAGAGCAAGACCGAAGCGGTACTGATCACTGGCAGAAAAGTCCGTGAAGTTGCCACTTTCAATACAAAGGGTGTAAGCATCACGACACAACCGGCAATTAAATACTTGGGAATCATACTTGATGCAAGGATATCCTTTAAGGAACACCCAGCGTACACAGGCGAAAAAGCTACAAAATTGTGCAGCACTTTACAGGGTTAATGCCCGTGGGCCAAAGCAAAATAGAAGACGACTATTAGCTGGTGTGCTAAAGTCAGTCGCGTTGTTCGGCGTCCAGATATGGGAAAAAGCCCTAGAAGTAAAATAATATCGCCGCGGCCTTTTTTCGATATATGTCACTTGCGCGCTAAGAGTATGTTCTGCTGCGCACAGTATCGGAAGATGCTGCTCTAGTTATTGCAGGGTTACACCCTTTAGACCTCCTGGCCAAGGAGACTCAATGCTGCACAAATGATAGGTTACCGCGGAACACAGTAAAAGAAATAGCAAGGGCGGAGACAGTAGATCAATGGCAAAGACGCTGGGATGAAAGCGGAAACGGGCGGTGGACATTCCGACTGATCCCCAATTTCGAACCATAGTTAAATAGACAACACGGTGAGGTGGATTTCAACTTAAATCCTCACAGGACATGGCTGCTTCAAAGCAAACGTTTCGGGCACGGAAATAACGACATATGTGATTATTGCGAAGGAGATACTGTCGAAAATGTGGAACACATATTCTTTTATTACCCAAAATATTATCATGAGAGGCAACACTTAAAAAATGCGTTCGGTGTAGACCCAACTCCCGATAACTTGGTAAGCCAAATGGTCGAATCGGTAGAGAAGTGGAAAGCTGCTTGCGAAGTTGCAGCCAGGGCTATGAGATCTCAACATGCCAGCGAACAGCGGCGGAGAAGAGAGCTGATAAATGTAACGAACAACCACGACTCAGACACACAAACGTTAAAGTGACGGGAAGGGTACAATGTACAAGGGGGGTTATCAGACCAACAGAGTTGGGGCCAAATAAATGCAACTTGTAACTGAATGCATTTTGACCATAACGTACGCATGAGTGTCACTCAACCATCCTCCCGACGTAATACTTGACGATGGTACCGGGGGAAACGGTACATGACGGTAGGAGGTTTAGTTCGAAAGTTGCGCGCTGACTTGGGATTCAGGCTTCCTCCTCGTTAAAAAAAAAAAACATACATTCATAGAAGATTATTCAAAAAAAATTGTATTTTTACCCTTAAAAATTTTACACAAATCGTCATTAATTTATAGGAACAAGTCGTTGTTAATTAGCTGTACGCATTTATATGTATAAATATATTTTTCCATACAGAGAGAATTACACAATTAAACACTGTAGATTTTCATGGTGTTATAAGTACACTTGCCCGCATAACTCTGTATAAAGCGCTAAAAAATTCGAAAAACTAACTTTAAACGCGAATTTCTCAGGAAATCTGACAAGTATCTAACCAAACTTGATTTCAATTCATTATTTATTGATTTCAGTAAGTAAATAAAAATACAAATTTTATTTTATTCAGATAATTATAGTTTAAATTCATTTTATTTGTTTTGACCTCAACATGTAGTTTTACGATAATTCTTCTTTCATCAATGCCAATTTCCTTGCCTTTTTTTCCATGGCTGTTTTAAAATGATCTTACTTCTGCAATCACTTGAAACACAATAAAACAGTTATTCTAAAGTCGCACAAGTGACTGAGAAAAAAGCTAAACTAACGTAAGCGCAAATTGCTATTTTGTGCTGCTGTACGCAGAGATTTGCGTGCATGAATTTTCATGATGTCGACGGATAATTCCCGTTAAAATGGGGATGTATGTATTATGGTTCTAAAAAGGTATGTTTATGCAATATATATATTTTTTATATAAAACAAATTCAAAAGTTTCCGGAAATGTGTCATGAGAAATTCGTGTTTAAAGATAAGTTTTCGAATTTTTTAGCGCTGTACGCAGAGTTATGCGGGCAAGTGTATATGCATTGCCGTTAAAAGGTACAGACCAAAAATACTCTGCAAGTGGTGGAAAGATAATAATGAATTTCAAATTTCACAAATTAAAAAAAAAATTTCATTGATCGCTGTATTTCCCTTATCTTTCCTTCATCATACATATCACTGTAGCTACTTAAATAATTTTATTGACGATGAAATCTTGCAGACCGTTCTCTATTTGAGTCCAAGTTGAGGATATTACTTTCAAGTTTCGTAGCCATTTTTCAACTCGTATAACACGTTCCAAAGTAACTATATACCTATTTTGATTTTGTTGCAAAAAAGCTCTAATTAAAGTGGAAAACACGTGTCAAAAAAGTAAAACCTTGTAAAGGATGTGAAAAAACTTAAAAAATCGTTATTGTAAAGAATGGCCGGCTAATTATTTTTATAATAAAATACTTTTCCTCATATACGCAAATAGTTAAAGGCACTTTTTAGAGAGTTGAAATTTTGAAAATTCATAACTTAAAAATTTTTCATATTGAGTTGAAATAAAGAAAACAGTGTCTAATATTTTGTTTCAAGGATTACAAAATGTGTTTTGCACAAAAAAAAATATGAAAGCAAATTTTGGATGGAATGAATTGAATGCTATACCTTTTTGGAAAGCTTTCACGCGCTAAAACGTGTTTGATTTATTGTCGTTTCTTCTAAGTCGTTCGTGAGTTATAGCGTCGCAAAAATGCAAAAAAAAATGTTATGAACAATTGAAAATTCAATAAAAATACCTAACGCCGCTATTTGCGTCATTTATGAAAATTTTTAAATACAAAATTGTTTTGTTTTTATTCAGCATATCTTTAAACTGCAGTTATTTGAATCTCGGAACCAATAGAGTAGCCAACGCCAGAATTGATTTGAATTTAAGTTTGTCAAATCTTTTATTTATGTCATTTTGCTCACTTTTTAACTCCCTGAAATTTTTGTCAGAACTTCAGTTAAACAACATACTAAAGGTATAAACTTGCGAACGGTAACGTAGGTATTCGCGGAAATCCCCCTGGTCACAATTTCAAAACACTATAGTAACACTGTGGAACATTTTTGGGATTATTGTCTGGGGGGTGAGAAATTCCAAGTCAGGGTGATGGTACTAGGTCAGTATAGTAAAACCCTCAAAGGTTTGGCGTTCGTATGTGTCAGTTTTTTTTATGACCTTTTAAATTTTTTCCTTATCTTGATGTTTTTTCGCTTAGTTGTAACATTTTGGCAAAACCCAAAAAAACCCGAAAAAAAAACAATTTCCGAGAATGCTCTTAACATCCTTGCGACAGAAACATCGTAGTTGTTAGAACGATGCTTTCCCAACAAGCCTTCTATTACTTCTTTGATTGCCTGCCTGCCATGCATTCAATATACATATATCAATGAAAATATTGTTGAATGCGTCACTTTTAATCAGCTTTCGTATATCTGGACCATTTAGTACGCCTGATTGAA